TAAGCCACACTCCAATGTGCTCTGCTAAGCCCACCAACAGTTCTTCAACCACCTGCCACCCAAAAGGACTGGGGATGCTTTAAAAGACGTCAAGCTGCTGAGCCCCTGAGGGTAGGACTGTCAGCATCCTGCATCCTCCAGGCACGATGTGTATGGTTTGGGCAGAACCGTTGCTGTCTGGAAGATGCCCTGACGTGCAAGATTCGGAGGGAAGATTCACAGACCTCGCTGCCCAGACTGTCTGCATTTTTAATTCAGCACAAGCACTCAAGGTTAATGACAGCAGCACATGCAGGTAGAACAGAATGATACCTCATTAATTTTCAAATTACATTATTCGCCAAGAGTAAATGAAAAGAAGCCCTGATACTGGTAACTGCCGAAGAGGGTTGCAGTCTTTCTCTGTTGACAGAGAACCCCTTCTGCAGAATCTGAGGCGTCCCTGCTGTAGGCGAAAGGAGCCCTGGTGGTGCAGTGCTTAAGTGCTCAGCTGCAAACCAAAAACCAAACTCACTGCCATCAAGTCAATTCTGACTCATAGTGACGCCCACTGGATTCCCAAGGCTGTCAATCTTTATGGAAGCCGACTGCCTCATCTTTCTTGGATGGAGTAGCTGGTGGGTTCAAACCACCTACCTTCTGCACCACCAGAGCTCCCTCTCATAAAGATGACAGTCTTGGAAACCCTGTGGTGCAGTTCCACTCTGTCCTCTAGGGGCGCTGTGACTCAGAATCTCCTCCAGGCAGTGGGTGTGGTTTGGGCTTTGCTTCTGTGAAGATTGACAGCCTTGAAAACACTACGGTGTAGTTCTACTCTGTCCTCTAGGGGCGCTGTGAGTCAGAATTGACTCCACCTTTGCTTCTGTGAAGATTGACAGCCTTGGAGACCCTGTGGTGCAGTTCCACTCTGTCCTCTAGGGGCGCTGTGAGTCGGAATCAACTCCATGGCAATGGGTTTGGTTTTTTTGGGGTGTTGGCTGTGAACTTCATAAATTTTAGACCCTATTTTAGACAGTCAGCTCTCCTTTTATTTATATATTTTGTTATATTTAAACATCGTTATTATAGGCATCTCACGGTGATACAGGTAATATGGTTGACTGCTTACCAAAAGGGTGGCCGTCTGAACCCACCCATAGGCTCCATGAGAGAAACACTTGGCAATCACCTTCCATAAAAATTAAAACAAAAACCAAAAAACAAAAAACCCCACTGCCATCAAGTGAGCCCCATCAGGTTTCTGAGACAGTAAATCTTTACAGAAGTAGATTGCCCAGTCTTCTTCTAGTCTGTAAAGATTACAGCCTAGGAAACCCTCTGGGGCAGTTCTATTCAGTCACACGGGATCCCCAGAGTCTCAGGGTGACGCAAACAGTTAACACACTCACAAACAAAAAACTCACTGCTGTGGAGTTGGATCCGACTCATAGCGACCCCTCCTTGGATTTCTCAGGTGGTATCACTATGGAAGAAGATTGCCCCATCTTCCTTCCGAGGAGTGGCTGGTGGGTTTGGACCGCCAGCCT